TCGTATCAACAGCCGAGCACCGAGAGAGAGAGAGAGAAGAAAAAATATCAGAAAGGCAGGGAGGTGAACTAGACTAAGTCCAGTTTGCTACCCTGCACGAGGGAGAGAGAAAAGAGGAAGAAAAAGAGAGAAAGAGGAGGAAGAAATACACATTGCACATAACACACACCCCGCACACACAGTTCATGTTTCACAGGCGCTCGCACAGTGATGTTGCCCTCAGGAATTGTAGGAGGGCTCGTGTGGCTTTCTGGGCTGCAAAACGTGAAGGCGATGCTCCTAAGATCTTCTCCAGGGTAAATGTTCGATCATCCAGCCTCCTTAAGGCACACTGGAGTGCTATTGTCCAGACTTCTTCAAAGTCTGACTTTGGACGATAGCACAGGAACATTGTCGAGAGTTTCTACAATATGGCAGTTATCACAGTTGGGGGAGTCAGCCATACCAATGCGATTAATTAATGAATTGTTGAAGGCAACGCCGACCCACAACCGACACAGCATTTTAGCGTACCATCGCGAAGTCTTTGATGGCAGCTGTAATTGGAATAACGAAGCGAGTTTCTGTGGGCGTCGAGTAAAGTTCAGTTGAAGATTCCAATGCATAAGTTTGGTAATGTATGCGATATGGCGAACTTCTTTTGCGGCATCGACCCTTCACAGGGTGAGCAGTATGGGTGCTCCATCGTGGGCACTACAGGCAGTGTTGTCGGCGAGGTGGTTAGCACCGATCCTACAGTGACCAGGCAGCCATTGAAAGATTAAGGCATGTGCTTTGTTAGTGGCGCGAATGACAGATTTCATTGATTTGAGATACCATCTCATGGTAGTTCCCGTGTCGTAGACTTCGCATACATTGAAGGGCCGCCTTGGAGTCACAAAAGATAGCTCAATTAGCATGAATTCTCGCATAACAAATCTAATTGCGGCTAGAAGGGCGGTGAGCTCGGAGCCCGTAGATTTTGTGACGTGTGAGGTCTTGAACTTGATGGTGATTGACCAAGATGGGATCACAACAGCGCCCGTCGAACTTCCCGAGACTGAACTGTCCATATAAATATCAGTTTGGTTTTAATATGATATATGCAAAAGGTCCAATGACATCTACTTGAGGGCTGCAGATGGCAAGGTAGCCTTTTGGTTATCCCCGGCACTTTAAGGTGTACAGGGGGTCTTTTCAGGCATCACTCCGGGCATAGCGGTATGGTTGCGGGTGAGAATCTCCAGGAGATGGAATTCTGGTTAGCCGCCACCACTCTCGAGAGCTCTGCCTTTGGTCTTTCCAGTAGCATGCTAGCAAGGTGGAGGTTATGCAGTCTGTATATATGGCGAATATGCGCCTGGAGTGTGTCGACAGTTACATAGGTTGTAATCACGTGGTCTTTCGCAATGGCAATAGTTGTGACCATGTTATAGCACACCTAGGAAATTCCAATCATGTGCGAAGAACTTGACCTTAAATTCTTTGCAGGACCCGGATGTTGGTTTTTTCGACATTTGAAAGCACCGTTGTGATATACCGAAAATACCCCAAGAAGAGCACTCTGTACAGTTCGAGCATTGCTGACATGGATGTTCCCCAAGTTTAGCGGCGAGAAATTTCATCACATGGGTGATAGGATCCATCGTGAACTTTCTTACAGCGCAACACCAGAAAAAATACAGGACAGCGAAGGAGTAGAACAGAAAGAAAAGACGGCGCTGGCACACGCACACGGCAATCATAGCTGCCAGGCAAGCCCGAGGCAGCGCCGTCGTTTCTTTCTGTTCTACTCCTTCGCTGTCCTGTATTTTTTCTGGTGTTGCGCTGTAAGAAAGTTCACGATGGATCCTAACCAACTGGCCCGACTTACCGTCTTACATGGGTGATAGAGCTGAGTCTCTTCTTCAAGTGCGCGATGTGAGCACTCCACAAAGTATCTCTGCCAAAAATGGTGTCCAGAAATCGTTTACATCTCGTATACAAAATTTCGGCATACTTTATGGAAACGGGATACCAGAATATCGCCTTGCGAGTGAAGAACTAAGGCGAATTTCTCGAGGCAAATTCTCGGCCCCTGTGCCCCGAGATACTTTGACGTTGTTGTCGCTGCTTTTTCGAGCTTTGTCCGGACCTGGGGTGGCGTCACTTCTGAAGCCCAGATGCAGATGTCATTGGCGTACACAGAAAGGTTGACTGTGGTACAACTCAGGCAAGTCCAACAATCGTGAGGTTAAACAAAGTTGAACAAGGCTGAGAACCCCAACCTGTGGGATGCCACGAGATGTTTAATTGTCTGTGGTGCGGCCTTTTGCAGTGTGCATGAAGAAGGATCTCTTCAATAAGTAGCTTAAAATTCATTTAAACATTTCTCAATCCATTAAAATAGTTGCTAAGGCATCGAATAACGTCGTGCATTATGTGGTCGTATGCCCTTTTCACGTCGAGGAACATAGCAACAAATATGCTGCTTGAGGGACTTCTGTTGTTGGCACACAGGTGACAAGGTCGATGACATTGTCTATAGAAGAACAGCCTCTTCGAAAACCAGCCATAGCCTTTGGATATATATTGTAGCGCTCAAGGTATACTCGAGGCGCGTGAGGACTATTCTTTTCCATTACTTTCCCAACACAGCTAGACGGCGCAAGAAGTCGTAATGTGAGGTCAAGCGGTGATTTTTCAGGCTTGAAGATTGGTACCAAGCACCGAAACCTTGCATTGTTTCACCAAGGTGGACAGCTGCCTGTTTGACGAACTTACCTCGCCTTACTTCTGTTCCTGTGTCATTTTTAACATTGAGCAGTTTGATGCGTAATAAATAAACGCTAAAATAAAACAATGAGTCGGAATGTGGATAAACTAGACTTTTAAGTATCAGGTGTAGTTGATTGATATGGTGTATATGGCACAAGGGCCAGTGGTGGCGAAAGGGTGCCAGGCCAAGGTATGGGATATCATCAGTCGTGTATGAGGTGGCTAAAAAAGTGCCTAACGTTCGTACTAGAGGTGCGTAGAATATGTCATTGTTCAAATCATGCAAATGACGCGAATTATGTGAGATGATAATCAATGAGCAGTGCTTGCTGTACAACAATAGACTGTGTGGGTATACCACGAGAGTCTCACGAACACCCTTGAAACCAAGGGCCCGGATGTACGTGCTTTTTTTTCAATGAAACTACCACAGCATGGGCCTCTCTTGGGTGCCATGCTTACGGACCGCCTGTGTAGATGACGTAAAAACTTCGAAGTTCAAGTTTTCATGTCATTTACAGAAGTTTCATGTCACGTACATGAAATTTTCACGTCATCTACATGGCTGACAATATTGAGGTTCTAAGTTCTTCTAAACATTCTAAAATACATTCATACTTGAAAAATGTACCCTTGGCTTGGAACAATTACTTGATTTACCGTTCATATGGCTCTCAATAGCAGGAAACTTTCAAGTCGATATGATGAAACCTGACGTCACGGTTTTGAAAGTGTATTTTTCATAATTTGATGACGTTGATTCGACTTAATTTTCGAAAACTTGCTATGTTAAGTCTATGGTCCCGTCAGAGGACAATGTGCTTCATATAATACTCATCAGTGGTGGTGTATTACCCAAGAGATGCAGTCAAAGTGCATAAAGTCATGTTGGATGGCGCGAAATTACAATGTGGCGCCGATACCCACATTTTCTATTATAGCGCGTTTCCTCGCCTGCCAGGCCTCTTCTCGTGAAAACCAGTGGTGATTTTGGTATCATTCAAAGCTATTCACTAATAAGAGGAAAATGCAGGATACTTTAAACACTAAAAGAGAAAGTTCCTTGAGAAACTGAGGAAGCGTATTTTTATCAATAGATCTGGCGAGACTTTTGTTGCGATGTCCTTCATGACTGCTGCATCTCACTGCAATAGAATACCTGAGCGCCAGCCATTAAGTCTATTCTTATTTTTCGTTTGTATCGCGACCATGCTAATATTTGCCCTGCTACACATGTAATGTTTTTTCAATAAAATTCATCTGATAGTTGACGCTATGATCTTGTGGTTATTTCTTCATCTCTGCTCTTTTGTGGTAAATTCTAATAGATGCTAAACTGAATCGCCAAGCAAGCTTCTCTTCACAAGTTATAAATCATTAGGCAGATTTTTCTTGAAGCTGCACGCCGAATTATATTCGTTCATATAACATAATAATGGACCAGCTTCGTTTCGGTGTGGGCATTTTCAGCTTGTCAAGTTCGCACAAGATCACTCGTGCAGCTATGAATGATATAAGCGGACGTCAGGACGTACAGCAAGAAAAGCCAGCAGCGCGTTCGTCCCGTGCTTGCCACCATGCTGGTAATTTCCATTTCGACGCTCCATCTTTGCAGATTCACCGTGCGTTACGAGGTAGTAGGCAGTTGTAGTTTCAAGTACGTATGGTCTTCACGTACGCAAGCGTGAAAAGTCTGCGTACGTTGCGTGAGCGCCGCTTCTGAAACGCTTTTGGTCTTAATTGTTACAGCTTTAACTCGGTCCCGCCTAATTAATAAGGCCTTAGGTAGCACACACCTAATTAGAAAAGCCCTGAATGCTTGGCGTTACTTCAATAGTTCTTTTATGGTTTCCTCATAATTAGCGTCGTCTTCATCGTGATACTTTTATTAGCCCGGCCTTAACATGAAACGTATCAATTAGCGTCATATTATTTCGCAGGTAAGGACTGTTTTCTTTTCATACCACTCGGCATAACAAAAAGCATAACAGCTCTGCCGTGATACAGCGCTAAGTAAAGTTCGATTCAATTTGTGGGGTTTAACGTCCCAAAACCACCATATGATTATGAGAGACGCCGTAGTGGAGGGCTCCGGAAATTTAGACCACCTGGTGTTCTTTAACGTGCACCCAAATCTGAGCACACGGGCCTACGACATTTCCGCCTCCATCGGAAATGCAGCCGCCACAGCCGGGATTTGAACCCGCGACCTGCGGGTCAGCAGCCGAGTACCTTAGCCACTAGACCACCGCGGCGGGGCGCTAAGTAAAGTGAATATATTGTATATTTTCTGCCTTGTATTGATTACTACATTATGGGCTTTCGAGTTGGTGGCTTGCGTGGCCCGCAAGCCTCCATGCAAGCTTTTTCGGTCTTGAAGTTGTTCAGGTTGGTGCCACAGCCACTCCAGGTAAACGTACGGCACGATTTTCTTGCGGGGTTATAGTAGAACCTTTCGATAGCATACTCGCAACGACCTCTGAAGGGTAGCCGTTCACAAACAGGTCCGGTTAAACCTGAAAGTAAAAGCAACAAGCACCTTGACGCAATCTCTAGGAAAGGCCTTGTAGAAAAAGTATCCACAACCCGTATCCTAATTTTGGCCAAACGTAACAATTGCTTACGCGCGTCTTTCGTGGTGGTATCAGCACAGCGACCGTATATGTAAGAGGCCCTAGTTATTCCCTCTACGTGTTTTTTTTTTATCTAGCTTTCCCGCCAACAGGCCACTACCTCCACTTGCATCTTTCGCGTACCTGACGACATTTGCATTGTTCGTTCTAACAAGGCATCCTGTAAACTAGTACTCAAACGTAGACACTCAAGGATAGGCTCATAGTGAGCTAAAATTAGGAAGAACTATCCGTAGGATTTGGAGATAAAAACATCTCGCCGAATCCAAACACTTCTACGATGATCTGAGTAAAATCTTACACCTTAAAAATCTTACAAGCATGACGCTTAGTTCAGATTTGCTTCTTGCTGGAGGATGCTGCTACGTGCAGGCACCACGCTCGATTGTCTCATAACATTACTCAGCGAACCACACTCGCCCACATGAATTTAAACGGGAGCGAGTGACCACTTGTCAGCGCACGTGCCGTTGGTCATGATAGATCGCCGATTTCGCGATGACATTTCCTGTCTGTGCAGCTTCTAACACGCTCATTGCGAGGAGAGGAGAAAGGCGGCAAGGCGCGTGGCTAACCGCGGTTACTCAGTTTGTTCTTGAAGGATACGAAAACGTTTCACGCAATCGATACGCGAGATAATAAATTTTAAAGCTATGTCTATCCAGTGAGAACTTACTAAAGTGTTTAATCACACTTTTGAAACATTCTCTGTTGTTCTTGAGTGGCCGCCCGGCATGCATATCTATTTAGCTTTACTGAATCTTGCTATTTAACAGTGCGTTTCAAGGCAACTGGACATGCATTGAGAAAATGAACCGCTTATTTCTCAATAATATATAATTCCTTGCTTATAGTTTATGTTTATTGCTCGTGTTAGTGACACAGAGCTATGTTTCCTTATGTCTCCACTATCAAATACATCATGTAGTCCTCTCGTATACTTTTACTGAACGCAGTTCGTTGCCGTAACACACATCTCCAGCCGTATGCATCCTAAGTGAGTCTCGTGAATTTTATTCTTCCAACTGAGTTCAGGCTTTTCTTGTGTAAGTAGCGGGATGCATTCTCTGCTACCAACTGTCCTTCGTCATCATTTGCCTCTCGCATATCTTGAAGGCTGATTTGGTCCTATGTTTTCTTACCTCAAAACTTTCCCTGCCCATATCGTCATTCACAGCCTTATTTATGGTCTTTACAAGCGCAATTCACCGCGAAGCAATCAACAGTATTTTGATTCACGTTCAGTCTTGAGCGCACCTCTGATTTCACGGACACCACTGTGTTCGTAAATATGAGCCTTAGGGCCAGTTCTCTTGTCTACAAACCCGGCAGCACCTCGAATCTATCGTATCCTATTACATTTTCTGCTTCAGCACAGGAGTCTTTCTTTTCTTGTTGGCGTGCATTTTTCTTGTACTTGCGCGCATCATCCTCAGTTACTCGTACTTCAAAATACTTGCATTTATTCACCTTCGATATTCGCTAGCCCTGTGATAACGCTGACCGATCATTGATATGATTGATTTCGCTAACCCGCGTTTTCTTGCACTACTTCCTAGCCGTAGACAAACTTTGCATGTGAATTTCTTGCTCGCCTCAGCTGACATTCTCCTCTATAGATAACTAGGCGCACCGCGCATTAGTGTTTTTTTTTTCGCTAGTAAGTGTTGCAAGTGGGTTGGCCAAGACACTATTTTCGGTGAGCCTAATGTCTGTAGTCATATATGTGCTTGCCTGGTCTGTCTCTCAATGATGATGACATTATCCAACGTACCCACTGATATGTGTGGTTACGATAATCAACTAAAGTCATAAACACTAATCATAAAAAATATATAAAAAATAGAACTATCACTTTGTTGTCGGAAGTATGCATGCGCTTTTGCACACAGCGTCTGACAGCCTGGCGGCTGAAACAATAGGATGCCTAGTGCGATTGCGAGCCGTCATTTCACAACTCGATGCTTGTGGTAAACAGGTGAACCAGGTAAATATAATGAAAATTGTAACCGTACAGTAAACCAGTATTGCTGTAAAACCTTTTAACGTGTAGGTGTATGTATCATCAGGTAGACCAAGATGTGAAGGATATTATTTCCGTCAGAGATCTGACGAAAGCAAATTTCTCACGAGCAAACAGCAAACAAAACTTAGAAACAAAAACAAATTGCTGACGCGAGAGTAGCACAGAAGACCTCATGGTTGAGGACGATACATGCAATGCGTGCCCCCAGGGAGCTTGCGCCACATGAGTAAGACAATTCGCAGTTCCACCTTGTAACTAACAAAGCTTCTCGCTCTCACCAGGCTATAGTTCCACAGTGCTGGTATCACATTCTGTTCACGGTGAAGTTTCATAACGTTGCATGCTATCGAATAAAACAGTTGGTTTTAGTGTTCGATATAACAGCATCCTTGTTCCTCTACTTCTCTGCTAAGGTGGTGACTCTGGCCCATGGAACGCTATTCTAGAAAATTCCACCGAATATTTCTTCCGAGCCAACAAACCTCTGGACCACCTGTCACCATGAAACGAATACCATATAAACGATGGCAAACTGCGTCCACTTGCCATTTGAATTTGCCGGAGTCTGGCCAAGAAGCCCAGCCATGTGACTTCTCAAAATGGAGGCAGGTTTTTACTTGCGTAACATCGTCTCGCAGCAGGACATGTACGCCATCACGGTAGCCATTTTTCGCCCCGCTCTGTGGTGCGTTGTACTTCCTCCTGGACAGCACGCATACGACCGACTACGAGGTTCAGGTACGAGCCCTACCGCAACTGGGAGTGCCACGTGATGTGCTCCCTGCCGCGCTAAACTTTAATTTCGAACCTCGGGTGATCGCGACCCCACACCCCAACAAGGCAGGTCAAGTCCGATTCCACCTGGTTTCAACCATCCAGCATCAACCGATTCGTAGGTACATTGCTTTCAACGCCACTTCCGAGACGATGCTGTGCACTTCACGTGCCACGAATGACAGTCGTCTTAGGTCAACAGCACTGCCTACTACACCTGTTATTGCCGCCACCCGCGTCCATCTACCCGCACAACTCAAGGAAGTTGCACCTGCATGTGATGTGCATACACCAGCTGCGGTTCAAGAACTCACAGAAGCTACGGATTCCTTTTCGTGAACAGCTGTATCCACGGACGCCGCCGTGCAACTCGAGTATTCTAAGCGCTTACAGCCTGCGCGCTCCAGGCAAAAGGTGCCGACTCCTGAATCATGTCTGTTGCGCTCCCACTCTGTTTCCAGTCCCAGTCCCACCGTAGACGCTGCCACGCTTTAATTCTCATAATTGTCAATGCAAGACGCCAGCTACGACGCTGCTTGCACCACCTCATCTCTGTCCTTGCGGTTCTCGCTCGAGTTGTAAGGCGCGTGCGGCTGTAATGGAAGCGTGAACAACATGTCCTTTTCGTCCACATCACAGATTTCACAGACCGTCAGCCGGTGATAAGAAACGAACCATCTAGTACCGGACGCCTTTAGGTGCACAACGAAACACATATGACTGTTACATAGATCTTTACGTCTCGAACTCACCGACTAATAATCACCCAGGATAGTAATTTGCCCTCTACGCCACTCGCAGCCCCGACCTCCGGAAGGAAATTCAGCACCCATTGGCCACTCTGCTTTCTCAACCTCAGTACTGTCAAGCGTACACTTTGTTGGCTACGATTTCGTCTATACACGACGGGGGCCTTGTCACGTGCTTCCATGCCGACGCAGCGACGAAGATCAAGTGGACGTAGGCACGACAAAACGAGCACGTGGGCAATCAAATAAAACACTTGGTTAGTGCCATTCAATGTAGTGGCTTCCTCTTTCCTTTATCTCTCCGCTGCAAGATGATGACAGTACTATTGCCGACAAGGAGCGCTGCAATATTGTGAGCTCAGCATAGGCCATGGGTGCAATGTGGATTACGCGGTGATGTGATTCAGTGACGACATCATTCCCACCATATTAGCGCGTGATGCCTATCGCCTTCAACGCATTGAGGCTCCCACATGCACTGCTTCGAATGCGATGGCACCCACAAAGTAAACTGCTCCCCGCTCTTTCTTGCAAGCCCATTCCCCCTTCTCCATGAACACGCCTATGATCATCGATATAGAGATGTGCCATCTGGCGTCAACGTGGATGCATACACGTCAAAGGCGCTGTAGGCGCCAAAAACAATTTGATATTGTAGAAAATGTCACATTATGTTCTTGTGTAATCATTCAACTGACCTTGGGCATGCATACACGTGCTATTTTCATGCGATCCTGGTGCTTATAGCAGAAAAATCAATCATCTTTTTGCGACCTGATCGTGCGGCGTGGTCACGTTTCCGTTTATAATCTGCTTCTGATGGCTTTCAGAAATTTTCTTCACCTCCTGCTTATCCCGTTGCTATGCCTTCTGCTACAACTTAGTTCCCCCTCTCTTTCTCTATATGTCACGCGAGAGTGGTACTTCGGTAGCTTTTTAGTTTCAATTTAGCGTCTTTAAGGTTTGTTCCATATGTTTTCTTTATTTTCTGGGACTTTCTAGTATGATGCGCGTGACATACACGTCTCACGGCTATAGAATCTTTAGAGCCTAGACGTGATAATTGATCTCCAAAGCAGGCCTTCAAAATACATGGCAGAACGTCTTAAGAAATGCAGTTACAGGAAGCTTACGATGACGTTGTTTCTTGTGTCCTATCTGGAAAGTGTTCGAAATAAAATGATTGCATTGCGCTTTCCTTTCTGTAAAGTTCATTCAGCGCCGACTTTACGCGCTATTCTTGATACCCGCTAACTTCCGAATTGCCTTTCAATCATATATGGGTGATTTCTATTGCGAAAATATTAGATCCCGGACTTACGAAGTAAATAATCCGTATAGGTTTCGATTCTTCTCTTGCGCCTTTGGTTATCTGTAATAAATAAATAAATATATAAACGAGAGCAGCAATTTATAAGTGTCAGTTGCTATTGTCAGCTTGAAAAACATAACCATGAGTGGTTAGATTAAGCTCTTTTGGGTGTATAAAAACAAACCCTGTTGACTCAACTCGCCTTCTTGCGTAGAAAAAGAATTCTTAGCAACACCATGAGGGTGTTGAATTAGCGCAAATTGTTTCAGCGCTCGAGCTTCAACATGGAACGTTCCAAAAGTCCTTTACTTTTACAATTCAAGGAGTACGCATCTCTTTCGGTCAATGCACGCCAACTGTGCCAACCATGGCAATCTTAAAAAATACTCTTTTAAAAATAATTACAAAATTACGCACACAAATGTACGAGTTTTATGGCATTTTCCCGAAATTATCTAAGCCGAAAAAAATATTCTGGCCACGTGAGTGCCATTACAACATTACGAAATGCTGGAAATACAGCTACGAAAAAAAACGATCACTTAAAGTCAACTTTTGCACACATTCTTTCCACACTTACATTTTTTTTGTGCTTTCAGGGCTTCGTGTTATCGTTAAGCGACAGTTCACCATTGTAGCACTCTAGTTTTTGTTTCTTAAGTTGAATAAATCGTAGTGTATAGGGAAGACAGGCTCAAGATTGCGCAGCGCCGTTCACCGCCCAAGCGGAAAGAGGACAAGGCTCCGGTCGCTCGGACATGCTGGGTTTTCTCATTGCGCGCACAAAAAAACGTGTTCTTTGGGGCGCTTATCTCGCATTTTGCACGCTGTGCGCAGTCCTCCTTCATCATTTCGGAAAGCAGGCACACACTACTTCTGCATTGTGAGCTGCTACAACAGTTTAACCAGAAGACCTGAAAACAGCCCGTCGAATTCTACCGTTTCCAATGCAAGCAGTGCGAGAAGCAAAGACATCAAATGTGTGTCATGGCAGCTCACCAATACTCCAGGTTTGAATTTTTTTGTCGTGCACAGTACTACAAACTACTGATTAACTGAAAGAAAGGCAATGGGCGGACTCATACTCAAAGAAAGCGTGTTTGTGAACTGAATTCAACTACAGCAAATAGACAACTGCTGTACATTTCACGATTGGGCCCTGGCTTTCCGAGAAAACTAGTCATACTGCGAAAGTGGCGGAGATTGCCAGCCTAATACATTTTAAAAAGTCACAGCTTTACCACAAAGACGAATAAATGAACGCAATGTCGACAAATTGGAACGTCACACGCAAAATGGCAAGGACATTGAAACGTGCCCCGCCTTTCTCCCGCACAAATGACGCACGAAACGTACTCACAGGTACAGATGAACGTGACGAAGCGTGTCAGTTGTTACTTCATTGTATCTGAAAAGCGCACCCTTTTCGCAAACGGAGGCTGTGCAACGATTGCAGTGACCTCAGTGCGCCCCGTAACTACAACATAATTGTTCCAGTGCGAACCCAACGCCAGCCAACACGTATGATCTTTCCCACCGGGAGATAAGGACGCGCGAGAGAGCGTCTACTCCCCGCGCGCCAAAGTACGCGTGAAAGATGAGAGCCGCCGCGCGCTCTTTGCGCCATCTTGCTCATAATGCTGAAACCACGATAGTTTCAGCTCCCCCCTCGAGATGGCCGCCAATAGTGGTTGGTAAAAATAAATAGCTTGTCGTTTGAACGTTGATGGAGGGACCCTTCGGTGTATTAGTTTCCGTGAATGTATGGCCAAGTTTGTAGAACTGCAGACAAACTCGGGAGATTATACCCGAGTGGTTTTCAAGGGTATAGAGCTCATAGCAGCACTTAGGGAATTTCAGTTTGTGTCGGGCTGTTACTGCTTGTTTTTTGTTGTGCTTGTGGTTTGATGTACGTGCCTATAAACAGGCAATAAAACAAAAAAAAGCATTCGGTGGCTAAGTGGTAAACGCTTCGCGTTCACGATGCAGGAGGTCCCACGTTCGATTCCACGCGCCTGAGTATCTTTTCTTGATTTTCTGTTTTCTTGTGTTTTCATATATATAGATGCGTAAACATACATATACGGTGCTTGGCGCCGGCGGCTAAATCCAGCCTGAGAGGGTTCATACGATTGCTATCGCAATATTACCGTACTGTAAGCCCTGCAAGTGTTTTATTCAGCTGACGGTTTTAAACTTCTCATCGCCGCTGAGCGTAAACAGGTTTGTGCTGTGGGTTAGCGCTGAGCATTTATACGTACAAGTCTACAGGCAACACCCACCGATAAGTTAGCATGATGAGGTGTTCCGATGCTAGGATCGAACTGACGAGTTCGATGCCCGCATACGCCAGCAGCATTTCCACGGGAGCGAAACGCAGTATAGCAGTGCGCCCAGATTTTGGTGCGAGAATGATAGACAGGGCTTGTTGGTGTTGCATATTTCCAGCGTGCGGTGGTATGACGCTCAATGTAAACAGGAGTGGCACTCAGTGTGTGTGCACCTCCTGTCTGTTGTCGTCGTGCCGTACACTTTAAATATATTTAGGTGCACGTAATAAAAGAAAAACCTGAGGTAGCCGAAGTCAATCTGTAGTCTCAAACCACGGCGTCCCTTCTAATGGTATGATGGTTGTGGCACGTAAACTAGTATTTTCTTACATGCGCCTCAGCTGCGGGCGATATACAGCTGCAGCTATGAAAACGAGTTGAAAAAAGAGTCGATGCAGTTTTAAAATTTTCGATGGTTGCGCGAAATTTGACGTGGTCGTTGGGGGCAAATCTCGGTGTAACCAAAGACATCCCTGATCTTAGTGAGTATTGTGCGATATGACGCCGCGGGATCGAATCTCTGCTGTGACAGCTGCATTTCCGATGCAGGCGGAAATGTTGTAGGCCCGTGTGCTCAGATTTTGGTGCACGTTAAAGCACCCCAGGTGGTCGAAATTTCCGGGGCCCTCCACTACGGCGTCTTTCATAATCATACGGTTGTTTCCGGATGTTTAACCCACACATAAATTATTGTGTGATATGACGACGACCAAGCAAGGTGTCAGAAAAACCAAATCGACATTCGAATCAGTGAACACGCTGCGTAATCAGACGTGGATATTATCTGAAATGAAAAATGTGCAGCAAGAAACATGCATAGTCGAGTGAATATAAAATACAAAATACGTTTTTGTGCGCATCTTTATACTTTCGAAGGAGCGGCGTGAAATCCAAAGTGTCATTGAACTTGCGATACGACCTTCTTAACATCCGGTGAAAACCTCGGCAAAAGTGAAACTCTTGCGAAACTGAACACACCGGATAAAAATGGTGCCAGGGACTGAACTGGGGAGACGCAAGTTTAGTCTCTTCACACTGACCACCTAATTAATTGAAAGACGCATGACAAACTTGGCCTTGAAGCAATCGAAGTCCAAACGTATATACAAACGCACGCGAAAGCGGGGTGGTAGTGGGCCGACAGCTCCGAAAATACACGAATGCCGCAGCTAATGCGCACTTTACCACTAACATACATATAGAATTCATGCCGTCAACTCACTTTTCAACGTCATAGAAAGGCAGCTGTTCACCTTTGACATTCATATAGCACTCGCTTAAAGAGATCGTGTTTGACTTGCTTGCTCCCGCAAAGGTTGCCAATGAATTGCTCTTGGTTCTGATATGATTCACACCATGAAAACTTTTTTTTAATTTTTTATATCTTCTAAATGTTTTTATATCTTTGGAGCAAGTCACAGGTGACGCTGCACGTGGAGGGTGACCAGATAACAGCGCGTGAACGTGCTGCGATAGCACAAGCACAAGGCGGGAGCGGGGTATCGAGTGACCGGCTTTTGCTAGAAAGGCAGCGAAGTGCACACGGCTCAGTGCCCCCTTGCCGAGGTTGGGAGGCCTATTGGGCATTTTTCACAAAATTCGGTTGTAGATCTAATGCGTCAATGATTCCTATTGAACTCTAGAACTGTCACCTAAAATCATGGCTTTGCCTGCATGGTGTGACGCCTGCGCAGCTCACATGCTGCAAAGTAATATCGTGAGCTGGACAAAAAACGCTGGTTTGGGTATATGATGAAGTACCGTCTCTTGCATCTTGCGGTTGTACAAAAAAAAAAACTTAGCGAGAAAGGCTCGATTGAAAACCCTGACAACTTTGTTTACACAAGATTTATTCAGAGCAGTTGTGTGTTAGGCAAACAAAAGTTTTGTTTTAGTGCCACCATTGTATTTTTGCCACAGGGAATATACAAACGATTTCAATCTGTCGCATAAAAGAAGACATCACGTTCGTATCAGTGTCTGCACTTTTTTTAGTGAGTACTTTATATTGTACTTTACGAATAAAAGTGACAACTAACAGTGGTAATGTGTACGAATGTCATCGCTTAGCCATGACTATTCCCAAATAAATCGTTCATTAGCACAACAAACCCCCTACTCGCTACCCAACTTATGGTTTATACACCTGCTATAATTTTGCTCTCTCCTGCACCGTACTACACCATCTGTCTATGCAATTTTGCATCATACATTAGCGTGTTTAGAGTCACCATATGAAAAATATTCGTAGAGTGCTGGCTTGCCACGGAAAAAGCTTTGCTTCAAATCCACCGCGTACCCTGTTTTTATTTTGTTTCTCTATCAATGCCCATGACAGCTGCGTTCGGGCATGGATGGCGGAGGTGATGGGCAGCTTAGGCCACTGAAGTCTGCTGTTGCCGAGATACCAGAACATACCTTAAATGGACCTTGAAACACTTTTCTAAGTAACCACAGAAATGAATTCACTGGAAGAGCTTATTGGCTCACGAATTCAACGCCACAAAACCTTTAACAATTCGTTCAGTGCAAGTTATTAAGATTTGTCGCATGCTGCAATTGCATTCTTTGTTCTCTCGTCCCGGCGAATAGGCTGGAAGCTAAGCAGGGAAGGATTGCAGGGGCAAGGAAAAACGTAACGATCACCTCGTGATCTTGAGCACTTTCTTTTCTTCCAATTCGCGGCTTATTCAGTGTGATCGCGCGCGCAGGCGTGGACAAGTCGTGGCT